AGCATTCAGTAGAGTCTTGCTGTGCATCGTTGGGTGCCCTTGGATTGTCATCTGGCCTTAGGTCTGATAGAACAATCCAGTAGGGCTCAGAAAAGTCACCTTTCTCCGGGGATTCTTAAGAAATCCATTGCATGCATAGATGGAACACACGAGAGCAACTTGATTGTCAGTCTCTGCTCTGATGATAAGCTTCCCCTTTCATTATGAAATCTGAGGTAGTTTTGCTCATTCCCTACTTAAAATGGCAATTCTCTAAGAGTGCAGATTACACGGGCTTCCAAGAAAGATTTTTGATGCAATTCATATAAAAGAGTCATCACTCCCAAGATTTCGCTATTATGAGCAAGGGTTACTCCTTTCTTCCCCATTTACACCAGAGAATTCCAACTGCTTACTGGGCTTTTGTTACCTGGTGGGAGCCTGGGCTTCTTGAGCCCTTTTAGTAGAGAAAGAGTAATATTCCCAGAGCCATGAAAACATGAAAATTCCCCCTGTGCTTAAATACTGAGATTTACCAAGGTCTACTTTTGGAGGCTTCGTACTTCCCTACACATACACACATGTGCAAGCTGCTGAAGATTTATGCTGCAACCCCAAGAATAAGCTAATTTTGTCTGCATTCACTTGGTGAGTTCAAAACTGTGACTTCTCCCTCATAGTGACTAGATTCGGAAGAACTAATTTCTGAAGTCTCAGAAGAGTGGTTAGGTCTGAGAAATAACTTTTTCCGTCTATAAGGCTCTTCTGTGGTTATTACTAACCTTCACTGAATCTGTCTGTCCCATGGTGCGGCCTGGTGGAAATATCCTGCTGGGTCATCCTTTCTGTCCCTCGCCTTTCAGAGGCTCTGTAGCAGGTCAAGAAGAGTGGCCATCCCTGGGCTCTTGCAGGCCCTAGTGACTTTCTGTCCTTCTAGAAATGTTCGTTTTCGATTTATCAAATATTTCGAGCCTACAGTGAAGTTCAAAGAATAATTTAACTGTCATGTGTCCTCCAAAGATTTTTCAAGTATTATTAACCTTTTGCCATTTTAGATTTTGAAAAATAAAACATTACAGGTCCAGTGGAAGATCACTTCGTATTTAGTTTCTGTTTCCTTTTCCCATTGTTACCCAGAGTATTCAGTATCTTGAAGGTGATGAGTATTATTTCCATTTTACTACATATATATGATAAACAAAAAAATTATAGCATCGTTATGTATTTTTAAAAGATATTTAAACGGCATCACAGTGTACTTGAGACCTTTTCCAAGTTACTTTTTTTTTTTTAAATTGAAGTATAGTTGGCATACAATATTATATTAGTTTCAGGTGCACAACATACTGATTCGACAATTATGTACATTATGAAATGCTCACCATGATGTGTAGTTACCATCTGTCACCATACAGAGTTATTATAATACGATTGACTGTATTCCGTATGCTGTACTTTTCATCCCCGTGATTTATTTATTTATTTTATAACTGGAAGTTTGTACCTCTTAATCCTCTTCACGTACTTCAGCTCTCCCCCCACTTTCTTGCCCTCCGGCAACCACTAGTTTATTCCTTGTTTTTATGTGTCTCTTTTTCTGTTTTTTGTTTCTTTGCTCATTTTGTTTTTTAGATTCCACATGTAAGTGGGATCATTGGGTATTTTTGTCTTTCTCTGTCTGACGAATTTCACTTAGCCTGATGCCCTCTAGGTGCATCCATGTTGTTACAAATGGCAAGTTCTCATTCTTTTTTTTATGACCGAGTAATATTTCATTGTATATATGTACCACCTCTTCTTTATCTGTTCATCTATCAGTGGACACTTTGGTTGCTTCCATATCTTGGCCATTGTAAATAATGCTGCAATAAACATAGGGGTGCATATATCTTTTCAAATTAGTGTTTTTTGTTTTTTTTTTTTTCAAGTAAATACCCAGAAGTAAAATTACTGGATCATATGGTATTTCTATTTTTAATTTTTTGAGGACCCTCCATACTGTTTTCCACAGTGGCTGCACTAGTTGGCATTCCCATCAACAGTGCATGAGGGTTCCTTTTTCTCCACATCCTCGCTAACATTTGTTATTTCATATCTTTTTGATATTAGCTATTCTGACTGATGTGAGGTGATTATCTCATTGCGGTTTTGATTTGCAGCAAGCTACTTTTAACATCAACATTTAAGAGTCATTTCAGTATTAGTATATTAAAATCAAGTTCATTTATTTTTGAATTCTATATCATATTCCATTATAATACTATATACCACAATGTATCCATTATTTTATTGATGGACACTGGACTGTTTATGATTCTGTCTTTGCTGTTAGTAACACCATGAAGAGCCTTGTCCATGTATGAGAGTTTCTTTAGATCTGCACTGAATAGTACAGTAGCCAGTAGCTTAAAATGTGGCTAGTCTAAATTACATTGCTCTGTCAGTACAAAATACACACCAGACTTTGAAGACTTAGAATGAAAAAAAAAAGTAAAATATCTCATTAATGATTTTATACTCATTGCCTATTAAGATGACACTATTTTTATATATTTTATTAAATAAAAGATATTATTAACATAATTTCACCTATAATTTGGCTACTAAAATGTTTAAAATTATATATATGACTTGCACTATAATTTTGTTGGACAAGGCTGGTCTAGATCAGGGATCAGTAATCTACCATCTACAGTGTGGTCATCTGTGTTTGTAAATAAAGTTTTATCGGAAAACATGTCCATTCATTTGCGTAGAGTCTACGACTGCTTTCCTGCTCCAACAGCAGAATTGAGTAGTCGTAACAGAGACCATATGATCCATAAGCCTAAAATATCACCCATCTGGCCCCTTAAGGAAATGTTTGTTGACCACCAATTCTAGAGCAATGATTTTTAGCCTTTTTTTAACAATGACCCACAATAAGAAATATATTTACTATCATGATCTGACAAGCACACACCTGAAGCAAGTGTCACAAAACAATGTTTCAAAAATCCTTACTATAATATTTCATGTTTTCTGGCCCCATAGCAGCATATTTTGTTAAAATAAACTGCTGGTAAACTGCCATGACTCACTAAATTGACTTAGCCATTCATTCACTACTAGTGATTTGAATAACATTGCTCAAGGAATATATCCAAGGTGTGTGTGTGTGTGTGTGTGTGTGTGTGTGTGTATTCACACATACACTTATTTACGTGTTTTTTAGCTTTATCTGTTTATATACATTTCATTCAGTGTTTCTCTAGGTTTATGGAATGGGGAGCTTTGTCTGCTCAGCAACTCTGGTGCTGGAACTTGTCCCTTGGCAGTTTTCTGGACCTGAGGAGCAAGAGACTCCAGAGGCCACTTTGGAGGGGGCTGGGTCATTGCATTGCCACAGAGCTGGCTTCTCTCCTAGACTGAGGAGTTGTCATTACTCACAACTGCATATCTAGGCTTTATCTGCAAAAGCCATGATTGATGGATCTGATGAGAATAAAAATATTTTACAAAACTTTCTATGATTTTATTTTGCCAGAGGGTAAAATAAAGGTAACCGACTGCCACAGCACTTCCTAAGGATCTGATATTTCCCAGAGCCCTAGAGTGACATTAAAATGTAAGAAATGGGGCGCCTGGGTGGCTCAGATGGTTAAGCGTCTGCCTTCAGCTCAGGTCATGATCCCAGGGTCCTGGGATCGAGTCCCGCATCGGGCTCTCTGCTCCTTGGGAGCCTACTTCTCCCTCTGCCTCTCTCTCTCTCTCTGTCTCTCATGAATAAATAAAAAAAAAAAAAAATGTAAGAAATGGTATTAGAACCTTGCCATCACCATCACAACTTATATTTGACAGCTGTAAAATATTTTTCAATGTGGTTCTAAGCATTGGGGGTGAGGAGAAGGATGTGTTCCTAAAGAGTATTTCATGGTAGCTAACAAACTTTCTCTAAACTTTTCTGGTAATCAGCACCGGATCCCCCGGACTGCAAAGACCAATGCAGGGCCTGGCAATGTTGTACACAAAGAACAATCGATAAATTCCTGACTGTAAGGTCATGTGCATTAAATAAGGCGGTTCTGATGCCAAATCAATACTGCATTGTCTATTTCCTACAGCAGATATTGAGATATAGATCTGCTCTAGTGGGAACAGGAATGTCATCAGGAAATATCAGTTCAGACAAATCTGGGTTACCACCAACAGGGAGAGAGCTAGATGGATTGTGGTCTGCCTCATTTTGTGGTGAAAATGTCAGGTCAGAGTGAATATTCATGTAGTCCTTGGAGAAAGGGAAGGAGAAATCAATAAGCTAACCGCTCTACCTGATAATGGCAGTGTTTTCTCCAAGGCAAGTTATTTTTCTCTTGAACTTGGTATTCCGGTCCTTGATATATTGGTAATGATGTCTTAGAGAAGCAACGAAAGATTTCATAGAAAGCCTAAGGGCAGATTCTGTACTTCAGGAAGAAGGGTTATGTTAACATGTTTCTGAGCATTGCACTAGAAGTCTGGTTAAATTGATACAAAGTTTTCCTTAATTCCAAGGAACAACCTAGAACCTTTGAAGCTCTGTCAAGAGAATGCCAGGCAAAAAGAAATCCCACCTTTTTAGTCCTAATTTGCAATTCACTTGCCCTGTGATCTTGCAAAAGCTACCCAATCTCTGTATATCTCTATACATTGACTCTTATGATAATGTTCGTGTTTTTCTTCATAGAGATGTTATACAGTAGGTGACGTGAATGTTATGGCCAACAGGATCAGCATACGAAGGCATATTTCCTCCCAAACCATGATTTGGCATTTGTCTAAATTTTGTAGACTCATTCCTCCTAACCACACTTGAGAAATCTCCTACCATTCATGTGCATAAGGTTTCAAAAGAGTGCCCGTTCTCTCTTCCCAAAATCATTTTTTCAAAACTTGCTGGTACTGTTCAGGCTCCGGGAGCATAGTAGGTTCATGACCCATCACCTGGTTTTTTAAGAGAAACCAAATTAATTGCTTTTACTGTTTGTTCTTACATTTTCCAGGCACCTTTTAAAGATGAACAAGAGCAGCTCTGATTTGGAGAAAGTGAGCCAGGGCTCTGCAGAGAGCCTCAGCCCTCCCTGCAGGGGTGTCCCCGTCAGCTTCACCACGGGTTCCACAGACAGCCTGGCCTCGGACTCCAGGACCTGCAGCGATGGAGGTAACAGATTTCACCTTGACGGGGAGGCTTAGATTCTCCCGGCTCTGGAAGGCCAGCCCTGGGCTCACTGCCACGATTGGGAATGGCTGAGCTGGACCTACCGTCTTGGTCCTGCTTTGCCCATGAGGTAGACTCCACCCAGGAACAGTTGGCATTAATCCCCTGTTGGATACATGATGAGGCGCCTCATTCTGCGCCCTTTCCACTGACACACAGTGCGTCCACTGATTCCTGGGGTGATGAGCCGTTTATGTATAGGTCTGTTCTCCATTTCTGTCCTCGGGATTGGTTCTCAGGGGATTAGGTACTGCCAAGCACAAGTTTTCACCCTCCATATTTCTCTCTCTCTCTCGCCCTCCGCCATCTTGTTCGCCCCTTCATGTGTATGAGTGCACACGCATGTGCATACACGCACACACACACGTGCATACACGCACGCACACACCTGGACACAGCAGGTGCTTATATAAATGTTTGTTGAATTAAAGCATGGAGGCTTCGTGAGGCTACCATCCGTCCCACTCCCCGGAGAAAGCTCTAAGGTATACTATGTGGGTATGTCCTGATTGGGCACATTCCTGAGAAGGAACTCTTGTGTTTCTGTAGTTGTGATAGGTAGTGTTAAAACCTCTCACCGTTTCAACATTCTTTGTGCGCGCGTGTGTCTTCTGCATTTCTCTTAAACTCGTTTTAACATGTTAGTTTTCGACATGTGCTAACATGACGACCTTTTCTCACTCCTATGGAAATATTTCTTCCCAGCAGGCAATTTTGGAGTCGAGGCTTCCACTGTAAAATCACAATCACCAACATATTTCGATAGGAAAGATGAGTACTGCTAAGTCTAGAGTACATGTTGTGTCAGTCTGCGGTGTGTTCTTATGGGAAACTTCTGATAGCTCAGACTTCAAAACAGGAAATCTCTTAGTCTGGATTGGGGTGGGATGTAGCAAAAGAGGGCTTGCTTTCTCTGCAGATTTTCCTGGGCTTCCATTTTTTTTCCTTTTCCCATCAAATTGTGCAAAAATTCTGTGAGGTGGGTTATTCCACAGAGGTGGGCTGGGCTCGTAGACTGTTGGACCCTGTGCCCTGATGTGCTCTCTCGAGGATTGTGACCAATTCTGAGGGAGCAGTGTACAGTGGAGCCCCACTGGCCACCAGCCAGCTCATGTTGATGAGAACTCTACCTAACTGTCTGTGCACTGGGCTAGTCAGAACCGGCAAATCATGTTTGCTCTCAGGACTCTTCAGGTCTAGCTAGGAAGACGAGCCTAAAACACGTGACACACAGGTGGCTGGTCTAAGCTAGGAGATTGGGCTTCCCAGAACATGAATGTTTATCAAGGCTTCCAGAAGAAAGAGGAATCAATGAGGGCTGAGGAAGGGTTCAGGGAAGGCGTTTGGAAAAGATGGCACTTCAACTCATGTCTCAAGTGTGGTTACAATTGAGGAGGTAGAGGGAGGAAAGGGCTCTGCAGGTTACGGAAACAACAAAGGAGGCGCCAAGGCACAGGGTTAGCACGGAATGCTGGGAAAAGGGCAGGACCACCTGACACACTTCAGTGGAAGCAGGCAAGGGGAAAATGGGACCAGAGGTTGATGGGAAGGTAGAGGCTGGATTGTACAAAACTCTCAAAACCAGTGTGCAGAAGTGGGAAATAATGGAGCCACTAGGGATTTAGGAGTACGATGGTGACACCTAACTCAGACATTTTCTAATTAAAATGAATATATTTTCATGGTTCTGCCTTTATCATGAGCCAGTTATTCAATGGGAATGCACTTCAAAATTTGAATTCCTAGATCAACAAAAAGTGTATACCTTGTTACTAGACTTTGGGACCTTAGAGTGAACAATTTCTACCTGCTGTTCCTGCTTATGGCTCTGTACCCCAGACCCTGCTTTCTTTCTCCACCCTCCCTTTGTCACATCTATTAGACATTAGTCTGGAGACTATCTAGAACCACACTGGTCATGAAATGTGAGGAACCCTTCAGTCCGCTTCTCTTCATTAACCAAGGTGTCTTGCTTTCGATCTGTTCCTAAACAGTTATCTTTCAATCCCATGAATTCTTGCTCACTTTTACCTCATAAAAATAATGTTGAAGTATTTATCCATCTCACCTTTTGTGACTATTTGTATCTAGTACTGAAGCTGAGACAGTGGATCTGAATAAGAGAGGTAGAGTTAGTTCAAGCTAAAGTTCCTGGAGACCAGAATGTAGTGTCTACTTCTCTAATATTAAATGTAAAGATATCATTAGACTATTTGTTTGGTCAGGAAGAATTCACTAATGAAAAGAGATGCCTTTTGTGGACTTTTTCTATCTGCAGTAAAGGCTGACCTGAGTGAGTTGAGGACAAAGTCATTCCAGTGTCATAATAGTAGTTTGTGTAAATTTCTTGGAAGCTTATCACGGTTAGTGGTTAAAGTTAGTTTTCTACTATTTGGGTTTTGTGGCCAAAAGAAAAAAAAAGTTTCACATTTTATAAGGAAAGGGGCGCCTGGGTGGCGCAGTCCATTAGGCGTCCAGCTCTTGGTTTCGGCTCCGGTCCTGATCTCAGGGTCCTGAGGGGGAGCCCCACGTCAGGCTCGGCGCTCAGTGCAGAGTCTACTAAAGTTTCTCTCTCCCTCTTCCTCTCCCCCTCTCCCCCATGGACGTGTGCACCCTCGTTCTCTTTCTCTCTCTCAAATAAATAAATAAATCTTTAAAAAAAAATTTATAAGAAAAACAAACATAATTGAAATGTATAACTTTGTTGCATTTTAAAAACCAGTGTGTCTAACCTTTATGTTTACAAAGTATCATTTTCATATCAATATTAACTTCACTTCTTTATGCTTGTATTGCATGTCATACCCCTCAAAGCACATCTGTTATCCCATTTGTCCATGTGGGCAATTCAATTGAACAGTGAGTCAACTCAGTGGAAGGAAAAATCCATGTAAGCAGTTGTTTGGTTTATGCTTGGTTTGGGAGGGACAAACTGCATGTGTCAGGGCAGATCCATGAATGCTGCCAAGAGGTGATCTGTAGTGAATAGCTGTGAGGCACAGTGGTCAGCTAAATGACCCCCACAGATGGGCAGCAGAAGACTCTCATGCTTTAAATGGTTCCTTTTATTTTTTTTTAAGATTTTATTTATTTATTTGACAGAGAAATAGGGAATACAAGCAGGGGGAGCGGGAGAGGGAGAAGCAGGCTCCCCACCAAGCAGGGAGCCCGATGCGGGGCTTGATCCCAGGGCCCTGGGATCATGACCCGAGCCGAAGGCAGATGCTTAAGGACTGAGCCACCCAGGAGCCCCTAAATGGTCCCTTTTAAATAGGTGAGCCTAATGTCACATGAAGATCATTTTCCTCTTTGATTTAGGATAACGTTAAAATTCAGTGCCACAGTTTAACATAAATCCTGGATGCCAGGTTCCCACAGTACAGGAGATTAGAAAGAGCTCTGTCGAACTGAAGCTGTTGGCACCAGCAATAGGTAAGAGGTCTGGCCACACAGTGAATGTAGGTATGAATTCACATGAAGGTATGTACCAGGTCAGTGTTCGTATTTTTATGGTTAGCAGACCAGAGATATGGCCAAGTTAATGAAATATCTTGACAGTAGTCAGCTTCTTTTCCTCAGTAATTATGCCAAGAGGATTTTTTTTTAATATTTTAGTTATTTGAGAGAGAGAGAGAACGTGCACAGGAGAGAGCACTAGTGGGGGAGGGGCAGAGGGAGAGGGAGAAGCAGACTCTCTGCTGAGCAGAGAGCCCGATGCCATGCGATGTGGGGCTCCATCCCAGGACCCTGAGATCATGACCTGAGCTGAAGGCAGCCGCTTACCCCACTGAGCCACCCAGGTGCCCTCCCCACAAGAGGATTTTTAAAATATATACATTAGTTCAGTCATTGACTTGATAGGTATTTGTTGAATCCAAACCTTGTGCTGGGTACAATTTTAGATGTTGAACATACAGCAATGACAAGAAAAATGCCCAGTTCCTTCTTTCACATTCCAGTGGGGAGAGATGGAGAAGGAGAAAGATACAAAGGGCTAAAGTAGCCAGTGCGTCAGATGGCAGTAAGTGCTATGGGAAAAAATCAAGCCAGGCAGTGGGCGGGGAGGGGGGGGTGGATCTGTCAAGAGAGACGGTAAGTCCACAAAGATCAGAGGTCAGTCAGGAGTGACAGCCTAACCTTCACTGAGCATTTGCTCCCCTACTCAGGCTGTTACCTGAGACTCTGTAAGAAGAAAAGGTGGCCCTTAAAAAGGCATCTAAAACTCCCTAGCTGAAAATAGTGTGTTCTTACTATCGAACAGGCTGTCAGAGCACTTGATCCTAAACTGGCAGGGCTGGTCTAATATATTCCATTTGGTGTTTTGCGGTTAGGCCCACCTCATCCCCTGCCCCGATGGAGACAGACTGAGTCGTGGGTTCTGTTCTGGGAGATGGATTAGTGAAGGATGAAGGAGCTATCCCAAAGGAAAAGATACTCATTTTTCAGAATGTCTGTGGCCTGAGCCCTTACAATATCACAAAAGTGAAGCTTTACCTTAGTTTAAACTATTCCCTTTAAGCTGAATTTTAAAATATATATTACTACTTCAATAAAGTCAGTACATGTCTCTGGTAACAATTCACATGATGGGGAAAGATATGAAATGAAAAGACAAAGTCATCAGATACCCTCTAAACAAGCTCCTGCCTTTGACACATTTTGAGCATATTTTTCTATATCTTCTCAGAAATTTTTATCCGTATTTATTTTTTTTTAATTTTTTTAAAGATTTTATTTATTTATTTCACAGAGAGAGAGAGAGAGAGTGAGCACAAGCAGGGGCAGTGGCAGGCAGAGGGAGAGGGAGAAGCAGGCTCCCCACTGAGTGGAGAGCCCGACGTGGGGCTGGATCCCAGGACCCTGGGATCATGACCTGATCTGTGGGCAGATGCTTAACCAACTGGGCCACCCAGGCGCCCCTTTTATCCATATTTAAAATGTCA